AGGACAGTCAACCAACGCCATCATTCAAGGGTGAACTGACCGCTTACCCTTGTTTCTGAATATCTTCCCAAGATGGCAGGCCGAAGATTCCCGGGAGTTGGGCCCACAGCTTGGCCTCGCCCTCGGAAATGTGGGTATCGACAACCACAGAGCACTCTGGGCAGAAGAGTGTTCGGAACACGGCAGCTTGTCCAATCTGGGCGAATGTCGGTACACCAGAGAAAAGAACGTCGCGGATAATATCAGAAGCAAGTCGACACCGGGGATGGGGGAATGCAGGCTTGGCGGTCGGTTCAAGCCAACTGTACGGCTCCTTCCTCTCCTGCGTGAGGAGCGGCGACATCGCGAGGATGCATACGGCCTTGTCGTCCGAATTCAGATGCACAGGCGCGCCGTCGGCGCCCGGTAAGCCTTGCAGAATGGCACGATGGACGTCGGCGATTTCGGACGAGTGTGCGGAGGCGCAGTAGAGGGCTGCCGGCAAGATCGAAAGTAGCCCCGTTTCTCGCGCCAGGTTGACGGCGTCGTACGTCAGCCCGTCGTATGGGACGATCTGCGCACGCTCTTTCCTCTCCCGGAAGTGTTCCAGGCTGAGAGGAAAGCTCCGCTCGAGTCGAGTAACCGCGTCTTCGCGGAGTTGATCGAATTCATACTTTTTGCCTAGACGCAGCATTGCCGCCACGAGCGCAAATGGTTTGGCTTGCTCTTTGTAGAAGGTACTGCAACAGCAAGCGGAGTTTGAGAGCAATACTAAAGCCACAATTGTGATACGCACCGGTCATAGAGCGCGTCAAGCACCATCTCAAATTCCACTGCTTGGTCGCCGTACAAACGAACCAAGGGACAGCCTTCAACCTGGCCATCGAGATTGTCCGGTGCGCGGCCGACCTCGAACATGTCCCGGAACACGTTGCTGCTAGAAGAGAGGATGCTGGCGTGCACCCGAAATTGGGTCATCTCGACTTGCAGGACGACGCTGCCGTCGGAGTACCATATCTTGGATCGAGTCACGGAGAGAGATGCTGGACGCGTATCGCTCTCGGTGCGCTGTCGCTTGGAAGCCGGCTCCATGGCCATTGCACGGGCGTCTGAAGTTGCCTGGAGAGACTCCCGAGAGAGGGAAACTTGAAGAGACGCGCGCACCGCCACCGATCCAGTGATGCGCGGTCATTCCGGTCGTGATAGCCGAAACATCGTTTGTTTCCTTCCACCACCTTGCCACCATCATGTCGCCGCAAAAGAGGCATCCGAATGCTTTCAACCCGGGAGAAAGATACGCCAACACTCGACGGTGACGTGGGACATGTGCAGAGAAGGAATGCTCTCAAATTCGACGCACCTCCACCTTGCCATTCAGTGGCATTGACATCCACCGCGCGGAGTTCTCTTCTTATTGGCTGCCCTTCAGGGCGAGTCCGTCTGCCGGGACATAAATATCAGGTTCTGTTCTGAAGCGATTATTCATGTCCACCTCATAGTCCAGGCTTTCCGTACGGAGTTTCCACCTATCATGGGCCATTGGAGCAACGGGAAGGAACATCTTTTCTGCCAGTCCTCTGACACGCACAAGGAACGCTTCAACTTTGCTTCTCTGCGGAATCTACACTCAAGTCTTTTGGACGCCACTTCTTTCTTTCGCCGCTATCCATTCTGTCTAAGATTCGCCTAGGCCCAACTCTTCAGAAGTCAGGCTCGAATGGTCTCGGCCAATAAACCCACCGCTGCCTCCGCTCTTCGTGCCCCGACAGTTGCAACCTCTCGCAGTCTCTTCCGCAGGCCATTCCGAGTGGATTCCTCCACGTTCGCGCACTTGTCGCAATTTTTTAGAAGCCCCCCCCCTCCTTTAATTCTGGATTGGAACATCGGGACCAGGACTTCCAGTGTCAAGGGCACTCTTCCCCGTCCGTGCAGCGTGCATTGATCTAGTATGTTTCTTTCAACCCTCAACTGGAGCCGTCTGCCGAGCTGTGTTCTTGTCAATCCGGGATTCACCCTTGATACACGCTAAACCACTTTTAACGTCAGCTCCTCCAATTCCGTGGTTTCAATTCGGAATGCATCCTTAGATGATCCCTCGGTTCACAGGATTGCAGGAGTCCGATCCCAAGTATACGTGGAATCCAGGTACCCCTAATTTAGCGCAAACCGCGCAACGCGTGCTCGTGCGGCGATAAACATGAGGTGAGTACTAATCCAACAACTTCTCTGATCGAAGTTCAATCCCACATCCAGTGACAAGAGTGAATACAGTCTAGGTCGGCTTGCTCAGATAAATCTGGCTGGTGCGCGCTGGCAAAAGGACGTTTCGGGTTTCAAGGACCACCGGACCAGATGGTATACGGTCACTATAGCAGTTGGAAGATGGTGCGCGTTTCGCCTGTCAAGGTCTTCTTTAGATAGATCAGTCCGTCAATCTCGCTCGTTGACACGCACAGCTGTGCGTTTTTCACTCTCGCGCGCAACCCCTCTCATCCTACGACGATGGCCGTCACAATCGAAGAGCTGCGCGGTGAGTTGGCATTACCGCAGTCGTCATAAATTGTACCTGATTGTTTCCCAGGCTTGATCGGCGTCCTCCCCCCGCTTGCTTGTCTGGTCACGTACATTCGTCTATACGCCCGGTACAGCAGAGGCAAGCTCTGGTGGGACGATTTCTGGGTGGCGGTCTCCACCATGTGCGCCATCGTGCTTGTCGTGGCGTCCATACTTCACCTCCAAGATCCCGGTACTGGATAGCTATCGCAGTCGCAATTCGTCGAGCTTATCTCGCAATGCTAGCACGGTTGTCCCAGCGTGTCAAAGTCTCGATTTATTACATGTGAGAGGCTTGCCACATTTTTGGAGAGGCGACATTGCTTAAATACCTCCTAGGTGTGCTCTTCTTTTCGCCGCCGTCGTGTGGTAAAACAAATTAAATACATTACTTACCGAAGGCACCAAATCTGAATACTTTTATCGCAGGACTGCCCGGATATCAATTCTATTCACGGTCATGCGACTGTGTTTCTTTGGAAGACTACGACGACTGCTCTTTTGGGTTGCTATCCTCTTCTTCGTGACATGGGCGATTCTCTTTGCCCAGGTCTGGTGGGTATGCGAGCGGCAGCCCGGTTGGAAGGACCTGCCGACCCCCCAATGTGCCCTTGGACTGACGCAATCAATAAGTAAGCTGCGGCCTGCCGGTCGATATCGTGCCAGTTTAACTAAACATATGTATGTCCTTCATGAAGCCGATGTTATATCCGACAGCATACTCATCGCTGCTCCCATGCGCCTCTTATGGCGAGTACCCCTCCCACGAGGCTTGAAGTTACGGTTAAGAGCGGTATTTGCGACCACCGCGATAGCCACCGCGGTCAGCTTGTACCATGCATACTGCGTCATGCGCTTTGGCGGCATCCCCGAGCTCGTAGCAGCTGCTGTCCAGGTGCGGTTCAATTTTACAGTATTCTACTGACTTGCTGATCTCTTTGCGTATCACTGCAGTTCTCCACCGGTCTCCTCGTCGCGAACTTGTCCGTCATCGTCGCGGTCGTATTCCGCCTGCGGCCCGATAATGAGTCGGATAATACCGAACCTGTGTCGGTGAACACTATCGGAGCCCCGAGAGGCGCGAGGCAACGGCATCCGCTATCCACGATGGGCGCGATAGACACGGGGGGCACTGAAATCGATGTTCAACTTGGCCAGACAGAGGGCGGGTGGAACGACACGGCCTCTGGCTTCGAAGGCGCGGACCACGATGGCCATAAGGTGGTTCCTTCTCTTCCGGCCGCCCAGAAGCACGATACAGGTCCAGGGAGCGTATGATACTTGTTCTGTAACAGAATCGTGATTTACTGTGCGGTAATATGTGGCTTAAATCGCTGGCGGGCGCATATTTTAGAACGAGTCCACGCCATGCATACACAACCTCTCGCGTTGGCCTTGAGAATCTTAATCAGGGTCCGCATTTCGTCGAGCATCCCCATCCGCAATCCTTGCACGAACAAGTCAAATTTGGTTCGCACCCACAACCCTCTGAATTTCCTCTTATGCATAAAGGTCCATTGCGACAGCCGCTCCGCCACGTTCCCAGTGAGCTTAATGTACGCAGACGTTCAATTCGGGGTTTAACAGTTGGATCATAGACCTCACACCGCGGGCAAAGTCCGACGCATCCAAGTTTGGATGCGGTCGGGTCAGCCGCAAGATCATGCAGGCGGCATGTTGTGTGACACTTCACAAAGGTAGGCAAAGAGCCTTTACGCAGACAAAGGCTGGACAAAGAACAAACAAAGGAAAGACAAAGGACACCCACCCAGCATCCCCGAAATTCTGGGCCGTGGGATTTCGGGCATGCTGGGTGGGTGCCCTTTGTCTCTCCTTTGTCTTTCCTTTGTCTGGTCTTTGTCTGCGCAAAGGTCCTTTGCTAATCTTTGTGAGACGTCACACAATATGCTGTCTGCATGATCTTGCCACTGACCCGACCGCATCCAAGTTTGGATGCGCGATGTGTTTTAACTTTTGTGCTCGGGAGTCGGGATACGGTGATGTTTCGATGATAGAAGGCACCGACTCGGAAATGATGCAACGAGCATGAGTCGGAGGTGTCGACAGCTTGCGCTGGACTTCGTTGAACCATAATCTCAACGTTCAAAATTTCGTTCAGGACCGCGTCACATCCGCAATCCTTGCAAGTTGCACGAACAAGTCAAATTTCGCTCGCACCTACAACACCTGGAATTTCCTATCATGCATAAAGGTCCATTGCGACAGCCGCTTCTGCCACGTTCCCAGCGGGCTTTATGTGCGGAGAGTCACCCAAATTCGATTCGGCCCCGGGGTGGACCATACGGATTCGGACTCCAAGTTCCATTTATTTGTCCGGAAATATGTTGTGTCGACGTCCTCGGAACACGCGACGATTTCGAAATTCCTCAACTTACCCCCTCTGCGTGGATATCGATTTAAACTTGTCCCCCGGCCGCCTCCAATCCCATTTACGCGCCCAGCGCTCAGACACTATAGCTTAGTGGTTGAGCATACGATTGCAATGATAAACCCACAGAATTTTCCATTTCATCGTGAGGTCCCGTGTTCGAACCACGGTAGTGTCTCTTTTGCTTGCTTTGGCTGTCTTTTGCTGTCTTTTGCTGGCTTTTGCTTTTGCTGTCTTTTGCTGGTGGAATTTTGGGAAATCATGATTGAGATTGAGAATCAGGAGATAGGACGTGAGTTGGCGCGCTGATTCAGAAGTACATACGTATGTATGTGGATGAAATTGTAACTGATTTCGGGGGATGAACAAGCGGGAGACGAACAAGGCAATTGAACAGCAGGGGTTTGACACGCTGTACGCACTCAGACGTTGAATTCCGGTTGAACGAGTCTACTTTGTATGTGGTTCGAAATTTCAAAACGCACATCCGACGGTTTCTGCATGATGACAATGTGACCCAGCAACAGCCCCGCAATATATTTTTCACGATCGCTTCAGAGGTTTAGACGCCTTGCCTGAGCGCCAAACATACCTTGTTGATGGAGCGAGTCCAGAACAAGGAAGCACAGCCACGCGGCTAAACCTCCTCAGACTCTTGACGCAAGCACTTTGAAGACGAGGATGCCGCCAGCGATAATGCCCATGCTCCTCTCGCCGTCGCCCTCCGAGACCGACTCCGAGGGCGAGGGCGAGGACTCGACGCTCCTCCTCGCCGCGGGCACGCACTCGCGCCTGCGCCGCCGCCCCGCCGTCGCCGTGCACGCGCGCCTCCTGCCCGACAGCCGCGCGCCCGGGACGGTGCTGTGGTGCGGCGCTCCGCAGACGCAGACGCCGGACCCCGCCGTCGACGGCTGGTGGGACGCGCGGCGCCCGGCGGCGGTGCCGTTCCTCCCTCTGCCGCTGGACGACGACGACGACGCGGCGCCGCAGTCGACCTCCGCGCGCGCATCGAGCGGCTGCGGCGGGCGCGTGCATGGCGGGGCGCACGCGGCGCGCGGGGGTGGAAGATGGGTGGGCTACGTGGGGGGTGTGGAGCGGACGGTTGTGCCGCTCGCCGCGGAGTATTTTGCACGGGGGGACGGGGCGGCGTTGGGGCTGGGGCTGGGCGAGGCGGGGTGTGGGTGTTCTGTCAGGGGCGTTGGGTGTGCTGTATGGTGAGCACTATCTTCGCTGCGATTTCTCCCTTCGCCTGCGCTCTCCGCGCGCGTTTGCGACATTGCGTAGAATACACGGTAATGGGTGGGACGCTGTCGGCTGGGGTCATCTCCATCCCGTCTGCCCGCTCATTCCGTTCATTCCCACTCGATCTTGTGTCTTTCGGAATCGTGGAATACTGACGGGGCTCTAATTTCAGCGGGAACGTTCTCGGCGCGCTGCATACGCCGTGTCGGACGCACCAGTCGCGCAAGGGCCAGGTGCACTACGTGTTCCTCCCCAACGCCGTGTCGCCCCCCATCGAAGACGCAGAATCATCCCAGTGCGTATCTACGTTTCCTCATTCCCTTCCTCCTCGTCATCCTACTTTCTACTTTCTACTTTCTATATCCTCCTCGCTTCCACTACTCGCCCCTCCTTCCGATCTCATGCCCACGCTAATCCACCACCCCGCAGCCCCACACCCCCGCGCCGCGCCCTCTCCCCGCCCCCCACCGACGAAAACACCCCGCCCGCGCACTACGGCTACGGCACCGCAACAGCGTGGTTCGACCACGCGTGGCGCGTCGCCGACCGCCCGCGCACGCCGGAGGGGGCGGGTGGGGATGGGGACGGGGACGGGGACGGGGATCGGGAGGGGGATCGGGATGGGGATCGAGGGAGAGATAGAGACAGAGGCAGAGACAGGGATGCGGACGGGGAGGGGGAGGGGGAGGGGGAGGGGTCCCCGGATCCGGCGGCGTTGGCGGCGTTGAGGAGGGTGATTAGTAGCAGGTGGGTGTTTGCTTTTATTTTGCGGAGGGGTTGTCAGGCTGGACGCGTCGGTCGGTGTGGTCGTGGCGCTCGGGGGGAGGACGTCGTGGCCTTCTTTGCGCACGGCGTCTTCAAGCTTTCGTGGCGGCGCACGGAGGCTGGCTCACTCGTCGCGACGATTCCGGCGACACTGGACGTGTCAGCTTGTCTTTGCGACTGTATCTCCCATCTATCCCTCTCTTATCTTCTTGTTTTCTCTCGTTATTCGTTGCCTAATACTGATTTGCGTTCCAGCGCCGCCTACAGTGCGCCCCCGCCCCTGCCACCGGCGGAAAGCAGAGCGCAGCACACTCAGTAAGTCTTTGTCGGAGCTGGAGGGCGGACGTGCTGTCTTGCCCGTCTTCGCGCCTCGTGTGCGTGTGCTTGGAGCTTGAAGCCAGGATGTGCTAGTCTCTTTTCCTTCCGCTCAGCGGCAAGCGCTGGCCGGGTATTCCCTTTGCGTTTCCCGCGCTCGGGGTCTGGACTTGCCAGCTCGCTCGTCTGTTGCACTTTGGGCGTGCGGAGGCTGGATATGCTTCGCTGCGCGTCTTTGGTCTGTCGGTGCTCGGTGCCCAGACGCTGGATGTGCAGCTTGGTCGTTTCGCGCTCGCGCTCGCGGCGCACGGAGGCTGGGCACTGAATATGCAGCTCACTCGTCTCGGTGCTTTCGGCGCACTAACTGCGTCGGCTTGTCTTTGCGACTGGATCTCCTCCTCTAGTCCGCTCTCATCTTCTCATCTTCTTGTACCCCCTCGTTATTCATTGCCTAATACTAACTTACATCCAGCGCCGCGTACACCCCGCCCCCGCCCCTGCCACCAACGTCACCACCAACGGCGGAAAGGCACACGCAGTAAGCGCGTCGTCCTGTCCTGTGTGCTCGGGATGTATGCTGATTCCAGATTAGTGACGACCGCGTGAGTCCGCTGGCACTACAAGCCGCCCCCACGCGCGCGCCAGAGCCGGCGCAGGGAATCGATGAGTCCGCTGAGCCAGACGCTGACGAGACGATGCCCTTGTGCGTATGCGCCCCATGCATCCTCCTCGCCTCTCCGTCCCCCTTTCCTCCCTCCATCCTCCCATCCTCCTTCCTCCTCGCCCCTCCGTCTTCCGTCTGACGCCCGTGTCTGATGTTTGGTCCGCAGACTCGCAGCGGAGCCGATCGTGTTCTCTACCCCGCCGTGCGTCTGTTCTTCTAAATAAAGAAAGAAAGAAAGAAAAAGGAGATGAAGCTGATTTTTGGTTAGGAATTTGTTTAGGACACAGCGTGCGAGTGCGATGGAGGCGGAGGCGGAGGCGGAGGAGGAGGAGCGGGCGCAGAGGTGGGAGCGGTGTGTGTTCCCTTGTCTTCCCTCCCTCTTCCTTCTCTTCCTCCACCTTCTCTTCCTCCTCCCTCTTCCCTCTCTCTCACCGTATCCATGCTCCATCGTCTCACTTCGCTTCCACAGACCGCTCGACCAGCCGCAAGCAACTTCGGCGCTCCTCCCGCAACCGCGCACGACGACGACGACGACGACGACGACGACCACGACGACGACGCCGCCGCGTACCCTAACTTCGTCCGCATCGTCCTCGGCGCTCCTCCCGGTCCCGCGCACGACGACAACGACGACGCCGCCGCGCGGGCTGCGGCGGACGTCTGCGCGGCTGGAGGTGCACGCCGCGCAGCTCGTTGGGCGGAGGCGGGTGCTTACGTCGACTTCCAGCTCCACGTCCGCGTCCGCGTCGGCGTCCACGTCGGGCACGGGCACAGGCGCCGGCACAGGCACAGGCACGGGCACAGGCACAGGCGCGTCCACCCCCGCGAATACCTCGACGAGCACCCCCGCTTCTACCCCCGCGAATACCTCGACGAGCACTTCTACCCCCGCGGCCGCGGTGCGCTTCCCGAGTCTGCGCGAGCAGGAGGGGTGGCTCGCGGCGGAGACGGAGACGGGGAGGCGGGCGTTGAGGCGGGCGTCGGTGCCGGATTTGAGGGATTTGAGGGATTTGAGGGATTTGAGGAGGCGCGCGGGGGTGGGGGGTGGGGGGCATGGGGAGGAGGGGTATGCGGCGCGGGTGGGGAGGAGGGTGGGGAGGTTGAGGGAGGCGCGTGTGGAGGGGGCGGGGGCGGGCGCAAGTGCGAGCTCAAGTAGAAGCGCAGCAGTGGGGGCACCAGCGATGGAGGTAGACGGGGAAGGGGAAGGGGACTCGGATGGGGAGACGGTGCGCGCAGGGGGGGTCGGGCCGTGGCAGACGCTGCCCCGCTCGCAGACGCAGACACCAACGCAGAGACCGCCGCCGCCCCTGGCGTCGGACGCACCCAGCCCCAGCCCCGGGGACCCGCCGCACATCGCGCGCGCGCGCGAGCGCCTGCTGCAGCGGAGTCGCCATCGGCTGGAGATGATCACGCTCGTGAGCGGGGGCGGGGATGCGGGCGGGCCTTCGACGGCGGATGGTGAGGGTGCGGTGGAGCGGAGGCGGATTTGGTTTGAGCGATGAATGGCGGTTGGTGGGATGGTGCGAGGGAATGGGGATCCGTAACGGGGCGAAGGGGATTTGGGGTTTGGGGATCCGCAACGGGGCGAAGGGGTTTTGGGGTTTGGGATTTGGGGATGAATGGTGGACGGACGGACGGCTGGGACGCAATGGAATGAGACGGGATGGATGGGATGGGATGGGATGGGATGGGATTTCTTCTTGGGTCGATGATTCGACTATAGACACGCCTGCTCTGGATATGCTTTCGCTTTCGTTTCGTAGTATTAAGTATATACTAATACATACATGCATGCTATCCGTTTTCACTTTGTCGCTCCGCATACTGTCATTGTATAATTACATGCCGCCTGTATCGTACGACACGATCTAGGATACATTTCTGCAGCTGCTTTTTAGCAACGAATCGTTTCGCATCATGCGTTTGTGCTGGCTTACTTATTGCATTTTCGTCGAGTATACCAGGGTCAAGAACGAGAAATACTCTTTTGTTTCTGTGAGGCAGCAGGCTTGTATTCTTCCGGTGCTACTGACAATGGGCACCGCGAGAATTTCCTCCTTTGCTGCAGCTGTCGACGGTGCTCGAACAGGAGTTCCACCTCGATATATTCCACCGGCTTCTCACTCGTTTTGAGCGCCTGAGGTTGATTGGGAAAACTGGAAGTCATTCATGCGATATTTGATACTCTAAAT